GATTTAGGCACAACAAGACCCTCACTCTATTGTCTCAAAAAGGGGGCCTTAGACAAAGATATCTCAATATAGATAGACCCAAGCCAGTTTCAAGTCCCCAGAAATGATGGTGCCAGCCCCAGCAACAAAAGAACAGAGTCAGAATGTCTGATGGTAACCAATTAACCAAGAGATGCCCCTCTCCAGAGATAACATGACCTGACCCCGGAGAGGAGTTGTAAAACTCCTGACAAGGCAAACAGACAAGCTAGAATAAGATAAAGTCCAGGCCTAGGAAAAACTGGACCAATCAAGGATGGGCCTGTACTAACCCCCTCCCCTCTAAGAAATTTTATGGGTTTTGCCTATAAAAACTAACTTCCCCAAGAAAGAGGTACTCCTCCCTGCCTCACTGTATTGGGTGTAGGAATGAGTCCCTGTCTAGACTTGTATCTGCAGAATAAACCTTGCTGTTGCATTCTGGACATCCAAGGTCTTCAGTGGTCTCTTTGGGGGGTCACAATCTGGGCATAACAATAGCATCAGACAAGCATCACTAAAAGTCATAGGGATTTGCACACAGTCAGTGGTCACTTGGAGTCTCTCCCCACAGTGGTGGTATTGGAAGAAGACTTCCAGTCACTTATGTGAATGTCTGGACTCCCTCATACTCAGAACCATATTAACACCAGAGTGTAGGGTTTGGGGATTTAGCTCAGTGGTAGAGCGCTTGCCTAGCAAGCGCAAGGCCCTGGGTTCGGTCCTCAGCTCCGGGGAAAAAAACAAACAAACAAACACCAGAGTGTAAACTGCATGTGTTTATGTCACAAAATATAGCCAGGAAAGGAAAAGACTGAACATATACTAATGTATGAGTTCAGAATGCCATTGATGTTTTTATCATTATGCAAAATGATGAGAATATATTTATCTAGAAAGAAACTGTTCTTTTTCAGAGGGAAAAAATCCCCTTTTCAGAAAATAATAAGTAGAATATATGGAAGATGGGTTAAACAAAAAGAAAATATCTTACGTGTGTGAGAAAGAGTGAACGGGGTTTAAAGCCAGGTTTTATGTTGAATACATTGATCTCTCAACTAGTATTTCTATCCTGGTTAGCCATCTTATCCACTGATTAACTGAGGATTCTCTACTAGACTCTAATGGACCAAAACTAATGTGATAGGTTGGCTTTGTTTTGCTTATACATAGGCTCTTGTGAGGAAGAATAGTCTAGAAGGATCATTCATTGTCTCTCTGAGTCAAGCTATTTCAATCTAGATCATGCTGCTTGGACTCCAGAACATTCATGTAGCTCTGCATGATTGACACCCACCTACTAAATGAACTGTGTGGCCCAAAGGGAAAAGATGGGCCAATCAACCAAATTCTTTTTTGTTTGTTTATTTCTTTCATTCTTTCTTTGTTGGAGTAAAGAGAGCAATAGAGATACTTTGCTAGTTAAAGCAGACAAAAAGAAACATGAGACCAGCTAGTTACACTGATGTAAGAGTAAAGTTGTAAGAATAATGTCTATTGACAGCCTTTAACATCACAAAAATAGAGACTGGCCCTCCTGCTCCATCCTGTGTGGTGCATACTCACATAACTGAGTATGTCCATTCATGCAGAACACGTTTATTGACTTCTCTCCACCAAACAAAGCAAACGGCAAGCTCTGAGGATTCAAAGTGATTATTGCTCTCACAGACCCCACAGTCCAGTGGAGATAAGAGAAGAAAGCCAGGTGAGTGCTCAACAGGGAAGCCTCACTTAGGCTTTCTGCAGTTAGGTAGACCAGCTTTCTCCATCTAACAAAAGTCAGTGCACTCTCTCCATAATCTCACTCCCTTGAGCCACTGGAGGCAGTATTGTCCACATACTTAGTCCTGCTCTCTTGTTTTATTTTCTTGCTATAAATGATTTTGTTTTGCTTTTGCTGTTTTTAGACCATGTCTTTCCTCAGACTCCACCATCTTCTGCTCAGCCTCCTGTGTGTGAGTTTTAGATGTCTGCCCCATGACTGTCTCATGCTAATTTTTAATGTGTTGTTTGAATGTCTCACCAAATCCCTGAAAAAGCTATGGTGCCTTATCTATGTGCAAGCACCTCTGAAGAAGCTGAGCTACTTGGAGAAGTTCTAATGATGACCAACTTATAAAAAATGTTTACAGATGGCACAGACTCTCTCTGCAGAGGTATTACAAATGGAAAGGCATTAAAGTTTCACACAGATGGTCTGTCCTGGGTCTTGGTATATAAAACAGTGCTGTTTGGCTTAAGTATTGCTAATCCAGACAGTACAAGAGGGTTATATTTTTAAATATGGAAAATTCCTCAAGGAAAAGTTTATCTACAGATGAAGTCTCTCTGAGACAGGCATACATTGACTGAGATCCTTTTGATTGCAACTAACAAAATCCAACTGAAACTAATTTGGAGACTTACTGTAAGCTTACTTTGGGATTTTTGAAAAAGTCAGGGCAAGGAACTATGAGTAATGGCTAAAGAAAAAATAAACTTGGTTTCCACCAGGTCTGTTCTGCTTCCTCTTGTCCTGGAAGTATCATTTTCTTGTGTTGAGTTTCCTCTATTCTGTAGACCTCCTGTTTAATTTCATTGTCCTTGAGAAGTTCCCATTTAAGTCACATTGGTAGGTGTCAGAGGTTAGGGATTTCTACAGATATAATTCAGTCCCTGTATATACTCAAGAAGTTCCTGCATATATCTGATTCAGCTCTCTTAGCTCCAAGTCAAAACTATACAGGAAAACAGTGGTTGTGAGAAGACATTCACCCCCAATCCCAGCATATTTACAGGGCTAAGATCATATCTTTACTAATGCAATAGCTTCTTCTATAACCATGTGAGTCATGAGGGGGGAAATTCCTATAGATGGAAGACCAAGTGTTAAGTTCAACAATGTCCACTAGAATTAAGAATTGGAAAAATGGGAATTTAAGCATAAATTTGAGTTAGCACAAGTCCCATAGGAATAAGAATTCAACATTCCAGGTAAATATTCTCTTAAAATATCTGTTTTTGTGTGGTATAACTCCCCTCAGACTCACTACTGAAGACAAGTGCTATGGGATGTCTTCCTGTATGCTGTGAATATGTGTTGCTTTGATTGGCTGATAAATAAAGCTATTTGGCCAATGGTGAGGCAGAATAAGGTTAGGAAGTACATTTGAGCTGGAGAGAGAGGAAAAGAAAGGAGAGTGGAGAAGACACCTACCTGCTGCCGAAGAAGGAACAAGATGCCAGCAGACTAGTAACACCATGGCCACATGGCAACATATATAGATTAATAGGAATGGGTTAATTTAAGATGAAAGAACTAGCTAGCAAGAAGCCTGCCATAGGCCACAGAGTTGGTAATTAATATAAGCCTCCAAGTGATTATTTTATAAGTGGCTGTGGGACTGTGGGGCTGGACAGGACCAGAGAAACTTATGACTACAGACAAGATCAAGCCTGTGGCCTGAATGTTCAGATGCTTGTGTAACATTTCTGTTTTCTGCAGTGAATTATAAACTGGCTTTTGACACTGGAGTTTAGTTAGTCATGACAGGTGAGAGAGACCCTTTCAGGCATCAGTGAGATGCTATGTACAAAGGTAGGCACAATCAGCAAAGATAGGAAAGAAAGGAAAATTGGAGACTTAATTTTGAGTCATTTGCTGTAGAGGCTTTTTAGAGCCACAGACTAGCTGAGCTCATGAAGAGTGGTGGCCATGAGGAAGAACAAAAGATGGGTTCCAGCGTACTGTGGATAGAGATATGTGTTGAATTCCCATTTTTCTGATGAGGAAACAGGCTCAGACATAGTAAATAATGAATTCACACACTTGGTAAAACATAGCCCCACATGTCAAATCAGGGATCTGCAAGGGATCGTGTTCCAAATGTCTGTCCACACACAGTGTTTCCTAGGGTATGTAAACAAGAGATCTGGGCCCTTTTCAATAAACTTCTGGTTAGTAAATCTGAGAATAATCCACGAAAGATGTTCTTCCAGTTGCACAGATGGCAGTGATACACAGCCAGGACACAGCATTGTGAGACCTTCCGGAGAGAAGCATGATACACAATGGCTGGTTTGATTTCAACAGATAACTCCTATTCAGGTGATTGACTGATAATCCCCAATTTGGATATACCTGGAATAATCAGAGTTATTTTATATAATACAGAGTCCCCCAGGATCTTGAAGTCTGTCCAGTACCAGTCTGTGAAGGTATGAACTGGAACCAGTACTACCAAACACTGAAGTCTCCAGGCCTTCTCTGTATACTCCCCACATTAAAATTGGGGTCCTTGCTGAACACGCACATACACCTGGAGGCCTTTGGGAAAGATGTGTAGATTCACTGTTGCTCAGGAGGCTCTCTGATCATATGCTATTGGCAGTACTTGTGATTCCTCCAATCTGAGATGTGTTATAAATGGAAAAAAATGACTGTAAGCTATCTCACCAATCAAGAACTTGGTATCTATTGAACATTGAAATACAATTTGTATTCATTGCCTATAAGGTTTAATAAAACACATTGAGGCTAATCTCATCTGTGCCTTTTCTCCATTTTTGGTGTGTTACCTAAAAATGTGGAAATTGACTTGGGTGGCTTGTACTGTTCACTGAGGACAACAATAAGGACATATGATCTTGTCACTGTTCCCACTGCGTGATAATCACTCCATGTCCTGTACTCCCACAGTCCTCTGCTTGTGACTTTATAATGACTTTCTCAGAACATCTTTCAGTTATCTCTTTACATGTCAGTCTTTGGGAAGTTCGAGGCCTTAGACCTTTGTCAACCTGTCCTACCTAGATCTGGAGTGAGTGCACCTGGTAGATGTCTGTGAATAGCTAACCCCTCCGTTCTCCTTGTCTAGAGCCACACAGATGATGGACTACACATCCCAGACTAACCTGAGCCACTTGAGTCCTGCCCTGATGTGCTGTCCATGACAACCATAGCCTAGGCCATTTCTCTAAAGATTAGCACAAGAAGCAGATTGGAGTAAAACTTGTCAAATTTACTACTCATTAGCGGGTTTATGAAGACCAGTTGTGAAAGAGATTGAAAAACAAAGCTAATGTGACACTGTGAATTGTCTCACATTGTCAGTTTTCCATGCTCTCATTAGGAAAAGCAAGCAGGGTCTGGGTTATTACTGCACCTTGTCTCTGCTTCTGCTGTAGATGAGCGCTTGTGGATACCAGACACTCACAGTGATGCTATACTTTTATTCCTGGCACTAAGAGTCCTGCTTCCACTTAATTTCCCTGATGCATGATTGGCAGCACTTTCTTCATACCACACATAAGCTTACCAATCAGGTGTCACCGATTCTCTCCAAAAGCATTTGTTTTTATAACAAAATAGATACATTTAGGCTCCTTTATCCCAATAAAGTACTATTCATCACAGTATTTTGCTGATGCCATGTATCAGTTCCTGTGATGCCTCCAGCTTTATGTGGGACTATTTGGTCACTTCCAGAAGGCCCTGAGTTGTGTATTGCCATTGTGAAATACTCTTTATATACAATAAAACAACATAACTTTCAAATATGTTTAGAAATTCGCAAGCCCATGTTGTCTATAGTTACTTATCTTCATAACATCAGAGAGGGAAGAAATATATTTCTGTCTCAATGAAGCATTGGAAGATTCTTTACAGTGTCCAGGATCAGGTCTTCTTATTTAAGTCCAGAAATATACTTCCTGTATTTCTTATTTTGATTGCTCTGACCCAAGTTAATTTCACATCTCTAGGTAGGAGAAAAATGTACCAATGCTGTTATTTCTCACAGTGCTGGGCTCTTTGGTGCCTTTTGAGGTGAAACATGATAGATCTTCTTGCCTCTACAGCTCTCCAATGCCATTTATTTAATGTTGGTTATATCATTAGTCATGTAATAACACCATCGTTCATCGCGCCACCTGTGAATATTGGCTTCCGGTGACTCTCTCAAAGCATGTTTCAGTGATGATGGTCACAGATGAGGTTTTAACCCAGAATTCTGAGAGAGATATGTATCATAATTCATTGTCTGATAATTAAATTCATTGTTCAAAGTTTTATAATATAAATGGAGGAACACACTTCTTCAACCATGTCTCCTGATGAACTTACATCATTTTTCTGTATTTCCAATGTGGTCTCCTTGGATGCTTGCCACTTTTGCCTTCCACATACCACCAACAGGGAGATCACCTGAAGAGCCTACAGGCAAGGTGAAAGGAATGACACCATTAATCAAAAGAATGGCCATCACTGAGCAAGTACAAACCAAGATTACCTAGGGAGAACATGGTGGTGTCACTGACCAGAATCAGACATTGATTAGAGAACCCTCAGAAAAGGTAAGGGAGGTTGCCTCAGGAAGACTGCCTGTTACTCGATGCAGAATACTCAGACATCCAGGGTGGGTGCCCTGGTTTTCAGGGGAGAATACAGTGTACACGGGATTAGAGATGTCTACCCCATCCCCATAGTCTTCTAGTGCTGAAGGTCAAAGACTTGAGCCACAGTTGTATAAGATCTGATGCACAAACTTGGATATGCAGTAAAACTAGGAGTTGAGTTGGACCCAAGTCTGTCGGCAGCCATAGCTTGGACTTATCTCATGGCACTTATAAGAACCATGCACATATTGTCATGTGATCCTATAGAAAACAGTATATTGGCCAGTAGGAGCATTTTTCCCCATGCCTCCATTCTGGCCTTGAATACAGTCCACAACTCTGAGATGGTCTCACTGTCATAGCTTCCAGAGTTTCTCAGAGCAACTAGTTATCAAGTGAATAGGTCAGAGAGGATGACCTCAAATGTAAAAATGGTACTGTGTTACCGTGGCTCATCTAGTCATGTTGCACCCTACCTAAATGACACCACCAGCCATGGTCTCTAGGTCATGGGAAGGACAGTTTTAAAGGAGCTGGGCGATGGTGGCATACACCTTTAATCCCAGCACTCAGGAGGCAGAGCCAGGTGGATCTCTATGAGTTCAAAGCCAGCCTGGTCTACAGAGTGAGAGCCAGGACAAGCACCAAAACTACACGGAGAAAACATGTCTCAAAAAAAAAAAAAGAAAGAAAGAAAGAAAGAAAAAGAAAGTTTTAAAGAAGATGATATGGGTTAGATCTGGACTGTTCTTGATGGACACACATATTGAAGGCTCAAATACTGGCTCATGATGCCAGTGAGAGGTGGCAGAACCTATAAGAGGTAAGTGTAGTCACTGTCCTGCGTTTGAGGCATGTATTTAGGTCCTATGTTTAGAGCATGATTTAGGTCCTGTGCTTAGGACATGCCATTGAAGTAGATATTTGGGACTCTCAGCCTTCCCTCATTCTCTCTTTTGCTTCCTCACAACCATGAAGTAAACAGACCTCCTCTCATTGACAATCCCACCAAGATGACTTTAGCACCATAGGCCCAAACTGATAGGGATGAATGACTGTGAACCAAAATTTCTAAAGCCATGAAATGCCTTTCCTCCTTAAAAGTTGATTGTGTCAGGTATTTTTCATGATGACAGAAAGCTGATTAGTGCAGAAGGCAACCTAAACTGTGAGAGGTCTCTGCTGGGCGTGGGTGATACTGGCTGTGATACATCACATCTGAGGATAAAAGGCTCTGAAATATCATCAAGAGAAGTCTAGTGAGAAAACTCTGTCTTCACGGAAAGCTGGCGAGAGGGACATTCTAGCTGTTGGTGTATCTGTAGCCATGCCCACTTACCAACCATGCAGGGGTATTTTCTGCCACCTACTTTAACTGTCAGATGGACCTCCAAGTTTACAAATAAACCTGTGCTCTCCATTGTCCTAACATTCTCCCTGGGTTACCACTCCAGAATCTACTCACCCTTACTCACATTCACTTCAGCCTGGAGATGAAAGCTGACTTGAGAACTTACCATATTTTCTTACTGGGTTAGTGAAAACTTGCACATTCTATTTCAGAGACCTTCATAATTCTGAAGCTGGAACTGTTGTGCATTACATTGATGCTGCTGATGCCATCTAATAAAACCATATAGTGTTGGGCAAATCCTAGTGACAACAGTACCATGATGTCAAATTCTGTGTATTCTCATTTTCTCTTCTAAACAATGCATTATGGCGGCAAAGGCATGGCTCCTGAGGCTTTCAGACCAGGGTTCAAATTCTCATTTCATGACTGTCCTAGTATCATTCTGTTGCTGGGATTAAAAACACTCTGACCAAAAGAAACTTGTGGAAGAAAGTTTTTATTTGGCTTATACATCCAGGCTATGTCATTGAAGAAAGTCAGGACAAGAACTTCAGTCAGGAACATGGAGGCAAGAGCCATGGAGGAAATTGCTTGCTTGCTCGCTCACTCCTAGGCTTTCTTCTATAGCCCAGGACCACCTGCCTGGTGCTGTCCACCATGGGCTTGGCCCTCTTGTATTCTTTTATAATCAAGACAATCCCCCACAGACATGCCCACAGACTAATCTGACCTAGGCAATGCCTCAACTGAGGTTTACCTCTCAGATGGCTCTAGGCTGTGTCTAGCTGACAATTAAAGCTACTAGAACAGCGACATTTATTTCATCACTCTGCTTTGATTTTCTTTTTTGAAGAATGAGTTAATAACACTGGCACAGTAGGGTAATTATGAAGATTAAGTGGGAAGCTGCATATAAAGCCCCTGGCAAATCCAAAGCTGAGCATTCTAGATCATTCCATGCTGCTTTGCTCTTTCACATCAAGCACAGGGTGCTCTTGGTCACCGGAGGCACATGCATATGCTCCCTCAGCCCCAGGCAGGTCCTGCTCACACTCCCGACCTATACCACTTTTCAAAGTGAACTCACAGCATTTGGTCCTGTCAGGAATTCTCTGTTGCTCATGGCAGTGGAATAGAAGGTTATTTCAGAGATGAGCTGCATTCTACCCCAGGTTGGAAGCAACACTGTGCTTCACACTGACTGGCAGAAAAGTGAGCCATTTAAAAGCCAGCACTGTACACCATCACTTTCTGTTTCTAAACAGCTTCCTTTAACATTTCCTCATCAAAGTTTACATATAAAAGTCTCCATCTACCTTCAAAATGTTACCTAAAACGTACCAATTTTGGAGCATATACTCAGAAGACAAATTCACCTTTTGTCTCACCCACCTAACTTCTCATTATTCTCTGGACTAACCAGGATGAATTAGAGTACAAAGAAACATGGATTGTATCTTTATCACCAAAATAATAATGCCAAACACTGTTCTTTGATTCTAACCTTTTACCCAGAGTACTCACTGGAACTCCAAGCATCTCCAAGTTCTTTTCCTTATTTACTCATATTGAAGTGAACTCTCTACTGGCCATATGCCAATACCTACTTTCTTGGTATTGGGGTGGAAGATTTGAACACAGGTCCTCTTGGGGTGGTCTGGCTTCTGTCTACCTTAAGCCATGCTGTGCTCTGAAGACTGGTGTCTGTCAAACTGTAATGCTGATTATAATGTGCCCCACAAACCTCCCAAAGCACTGTGCATATGCCATACCCACTGCAAATCTGATAGAATACACTAGAATATATTGTAGTAGAGCTCAAGTACCTGTATGCTTTTTTGAGTTCAAACAGCTCTGATGTGCACCAATGTTGAGAACCACTCTGGGAATTGACATTTGTTCCTGGATATACATTAAAAACCTTTGTCTTAGTCACTGTCCTATTAATGTGAAAGACACCATGGCCAAGGCAACTCTTATAAAGAAAGCATTTAGTTGGGGCCTTGTTTACAGGTTCAGAGGTTTAGTCCATTATCAACATGGCAAGATGTGCGGTAACAGGCAGGCAAGCATGGACTGAGTGCTTACATCCTAATCTTCAGGCCAGAGACTGGGCCTGGAATAGGCTCTTAAAACCTCAAAACACTCCCAGTGACACACCTTCTCCAACAAGGTTGCATCTGTTAATCCCTCTCAAACAGTTCCACTTCCTGGTAACTAAGCATTTTAGCCTGTGGGGACCCTTTTCCCTCAAACCACCACACCTTCCTGTTTCAACATCCAGATCTAAGCAAGGTGCCAGGCAGCCTTTCTAAGTTGTTCATACAGTTTTAACATTTAGAGTGCATACCCCTGGGTATGTAGGAAGCCATATTGCAAAAATTAGTCAGCCTACTTCCTGTACCAAATCAGAATGATGTGAGGGCAGGAACACTGCATCAGAAGCTGTGGTGAGTAGATACTTTCCTTTTGCTGTCTCACACATCCCAGGAAACACTTTAAACACTCCTGGCTGCCCATGAACATCACACTGATATGTGAGGCACTTGGCATCATTATGTTTCTTTTAAATTTCTATTCCAAACACATCCAGAACCTAAGCTAAGTCCTTCTTCAGTCACCCAAACTGTTAGCCTGGTTCTTTTTTTATTTATTTAATTTTTGAGAGTATAACACAATTACAACATTTCTCCCTTCTCTTTCCTCCCTCCAAACTCTCCCATATATCCCTCCCTCCTCTCCTTCAAATTCATGGCCTATTCTTTCATTAATTGTTACAGTATGCATAAACGTATGTGTATACATGTATATTCACAAATACAACCTGCTCAGTCCATAAAACATTACATATATGTAAAATTTTCAGGGATAACATTTTGGCACTAGACAACTAACTGGTTAGCCTAGTTCTAAACATGCCCATGGAAATTATTGTTTCCAGACACCAGGGACTGCTCTTGCTGCCCATGGCACAGCCCTGTGACTTCCTTTGGTCAACAGAATGAAAATGAAGTCATGCGTCACTTCCTCGAAGAAGACACAACCGGAAACATGAAATTGATGTTTACCTCATTCTCTTTGACCTTCTCCATAGTGATGACACCATCCCCTTGGGTTCCAGAACAACAAAGATACCAGTGTGGAACATACAGGATGTGGTCCTTGTTGGAGACAGCTATAGTTATTCTAAGCACTACATGTGGACATGTAAACCCTCACAATCATTTCTGGGGTTAAATACTACTTCCTGCTACCCCTTCCTTGACCTCACACTGTTTTTCATGCTCACCTCATCTTGCTGCTCCGGCACTACAGAAGTCTGTGTCACTTGTTTTTCTGAATTCTCACCCTTTCTCTTCCCATTGAAATTTCTAATGGTATTTTGTGGCTCCAATGATTTTCCTGTTTTTCTCTTTTATACACAGTTGCCCATCCCTTGAGTTTAAGTGCCAGGTTGTGAAGCT